CAGCTTGTTGATCATTACAGCTCCAAGCACCCAAAAGAGAAGCCTCCAAGCAACTCAGGATAACAACTCATTTGGTTCTAAAAGAAAGAAACCTGGTTACTGTTATGGTGCTGTGAAAAACTGTAATTAGACTCCCAAAAATTCAGAATCACATTCTAAGGCTTGTTGTGCTTCCAGTTTGTATGAATGTGACTGTATGTCAAGTTGTGCATGCCTCCTAGACCCCCTTTTTCACTACCCAGATAATACATATGAGAATGCAGTACATTTTTTTTTTCTTTTTTTTTTTTTCTTGTGGAATAATGCCAGTGAACATATCACTAGTGCTTTGTCCTAGCATTATAGTTTCTGCTTCTTTATGTATTCAGATAACCGAATAAATTTAGGGTGCCTAGATAAATGTCTTGATTTTGAGATATTTTTATCTCATACAAATGCTCTTTTGCTCATTTATTGAATATGAATAGAGTTTTACAAATGTGTCATGGACGCTTGATGCATTTGATTGTGCATTGCTGTGAATAATGCATGTAGCTCACAATTGGACGTGATTGGCCGTTATCTGGATGCCAGTTACTCCTGTATTATTGAAAAAAAAAAACAAAAAAAAAAAGGCACAAACGAATTTTTGTTTCAGTGAAATAGAACTCTCACTTTTGATGTAAACAAGTTATATTGAGCAGGGCTTGGCTAATGAAAGCTAGTTTTATTGCATTATTATGCAGACAACACCAGAGGAACAGGGTATGGAGAGCTATATTGGCAGCAGGAAAGATATATAAAACTCAAACAAATAATTTTCTCCAGTTCATGATTTGCAGTTTAAAATTTATGAATTTGTTGATTGAATTTGTGAACAATTGTCAAGTTATTTGTCAGTTTTCATTCATATATATGAGAAGCATTATACTTACATATTTGTGGTAGTGAAATAATAAAAACCTATATAGATATAAAATAAAATCATTATACTTAATTTAACAGATTGAATATTTAAATTTGATATAGATTAATTTTGATAATAATAAATCGTTGAATAAAAATTTAAATCTATATGTATAAAAAAATTATTTGAGGCTGATGTACATGTATTATTTACAATAATTTTCCGGTTAAAATCCTTTAGACTAATTTAGTTAGTCATCACTTCTTTTTTTACTTGCAAATTGCAATGTTTGCAACATTATAAAGTTTGTAAAATTTAAATATAGTAAAAAAAAACTAATTGTTACGTCACCATAGCATATAACTGTAACTTAACCTATAATTATAATTTTATTTATTTTTTATAGAGAATTTTGACAAAAATATACAGTTTTTTGAAAAAGAAATTGTGTAATGATCAAATTTATTATTATATAATACATACCATAGATTTTTTAATTTCAAAAATAAACTTTATATATACAATTTATATTACCATAAATATTCTCTTCATAAAATATTAAATTTTATAAATTAGTCTTTAATATCTATATCTATATATATATATAATAAAAATTACTATTTATAAAAAATAGTGAGCTAAAAAATTCCGCCAACATTTAATGCATGCCATTTTAAAAAAAAAAAAAATCTATTTTTTTAAATGCATCATTAAGTGCACCCTAAAATGGTGGGTAATATTGAACTAATTTTTGAAATTCAAAATCCTCTCATTTTAATTTCTATAAAATCTGGTTGCATGCAAATTTTCATATGATTTGAATTTCAAATTTTCTTTTCATTTTGGTTTCTATAAAATCGGTTGAATTAAAGAATCCTTCCTCAAATGAAGGATTTTTGTTTAAACTAGTGCATAGCCCGTGCGATGCACGGGACACATATATTAATTGAGTCATTTCTATATGGCTTGTACATTTTGGCAAAAAATAATAGGGTTGCATCATCAGTTTTCCACTTCTTTCAATCAGTGATATTTATTTTAGTCATAACGTTGATATATTAATTAATATATCATTTTGCTTACACGTTATACTAATATAAATTTAATTTTACAATATATATTTATTCATCGATATAAAAAAATTATTCTTATTCTTGTTCACCATTTAATACTCAATTAATATTTTATTATAATATTTGTTGTCATATAATGTCATTATTATTATTTATAAAGGTTATAATAGTTGTCTACTTCTTCTTAGTTTATGTAATGAAGTTTAAAATAAAATTTTGTGTATAAATGTTTATAAAATACACACACATGTTTTTTAAAATTTCTCATAATAATTAAAAAAATTTGATTTAGCAAATTGTCAAATAATAAACCCTTATATAATCAAGAGATTTTTCTAATTTGCATCCTAAGGTTTTATTAATTTATTTAACATACTATGCAATATAAATATATATTTTACAATAAATTCATTATGGAAACAAATAAAAATAAAAAATGATAAAATTATCGTGGTTGACAATAATATACAAATAAATCAAATATTGAAACTGTAAAGAATAGTTAATATATTTTAATTTTATTATTTGGCCGTTAATAAGTTATTTAATGATGTGATCATTATCTCTTAAATGGTAAATTATTTTAGTTTAAAGATATTATTTGTTTATATAATAAATAAAGGTTAAAAAATATTATTAAAAATTATTATTCACCAACTGGATTTCGGCTAATTAGTTAGAGGGAGAATTATTTAACATGTTACGATTGTTTATAAATATTTTAGGATTAAAGTCAACATTTTTGAAAAAAAAAATTAATATTATGGTTAAGACTTAAAATTTGTTTTCATGGTTATGTTGACAAAAATATTATCAACACCAATTATGAAAAATCAAATTATAGTTTATTATAATGAATATCAATAAAATTATTGCATATGATAATAAAATTATTCAATGAAAGAATCTTTTTGATCATATATGATTTGGAAATGTGTATATATTAAAGCAATTAATGCATATATTTAAAAGTTTCCAAATATAGTATGCATTAAATGCTCATTGACTTTTTTGCTACTATATTTAGTAAATAGTAATTCTTTTTATATATATATAGATTGAATTTTAGAAATCTCTACACACATGTGGCTATTCTTGGACCGTTTAATTTATTCATTCCTCAAATCAAAGATTTTGTGCAATTTTAATTTAACAAACATTTACTTACTTCCGTCATAATATGCCATACAATATCTTATTCCTTCTCTACGTTACCAATTTTTTTTTGTTAAAAATACTAATTCTCTAATATTTAATTACTAATATAAATCTCTTATTTATCGTGATAACTAATTCATTACTGTATAATTACTAATATCAACTAATTCATTAATGTCTAATTACTAATATAAATTTGGTAACATTTTTTTTTAAAAGGGTTAATTTTCCTCTATAATGTCTAATTACTAATGTTTTTTAGGTTGGAAGGTTACTAACACATATAATATTTTAGATACTTTTAAACATTATTTCACTACAAGAATAATCATTATTAGCGACACTAATTTTAGTGACGACATTAATGTCATGACTATAAAATGATTATTGTGACGACATTCGAACATATTGAGACATTATTAGCGACGGTATTTTTTGTGAAGACATTTGAACATATGGCGACAAAAATTATCGCCACTAAAAATGATTATTCTTGTAGTGTTTGGACAAATTTTTAAGACAAACTCTAGATTAAGGATATATATATATATATGTGTGTGTGTGTGTGTGTGTGTGAAAATTAAAAGTATTTTTATACGTGTAGTTTAGAAAAATTTTAGGTGACCTCACACATTTTTCAAAAATAATATAGAATATTTTTGATAATTTTTTTGCATATATTATATGATATTTTAGGTGCTTTTAATATCTATATGTACATGTGAAGAGAATAAGATACGTATTTTCCACCTAAAAATATTAAATTCATACTGTGAATGTTAACTACAGTCTTGAATTTTTGCAGTCTTTAATTTTTGTCTTTAATCTTAGTTATACATAAAATCCCATTTTATTTTATTTGTTATGTATATTTTTTAAAATTTATAAATCAATCGTCCCATTTTATTTGTTATATATATTTTTTGAAATTTATAAATCAAGGTATGCTAACGTTGAATTGTTAAGTGTACAAAATTCTTTTTTACTCTAACAAAAAAATACTTAAACTTTGAAATCTTTTGTACTCAATTTTTCACATGGACACGGCATACTTATCAGTATCATTTAAATATTTATTTTTTATATACTATTAAACTTATAATATCTAGAGTACTTTTAAGTTTAGACAATTTTTTTACACAAGCTATCTATATATACATATACACATAAAGACACACACACACACATGTAATACACACACATATATAAAGATGTTAAACATAATTATATTCAGAAGAAAATTTCAGATACTTATACATAGGTTATATAATATTTTAGGTATTTTTAAAATTAAACTCACATTTTTTATGTTCTTTTATATAAGAAAATTTTATATCGTTTACAATAAATTAATATAAGGTAAATTATATTAAATGCTAATTCCACATCTTTAATATTTAGTAATTATTTAATATTACTTCTCCACTATCTTTATTTTATAATTATTAGTAAATATTATCTACCTTCATCTTTAATTTATAATTACTACTCCCTCCTTCAGTTTATATTCTTAATTGCACAATAATTAAGAATTTTTTTTTTGCCAATAATAACCTTCATTAATGAGAATAGAGATGAATATTTTGAGAAAATATGAAGAGTGAATATGAAAAGATGTAGTGCATTATTAGCAAGATGAGGGTAATAATGAAAAAGTATGTACAAAAGATCCAAAAAAACGTCATTTATTTGGTTAATTGTTGATAAAACCAAAATGACATTTTAGAAAAAAAAAAAAAGGTAATATTTAATATTGTTTACCCGTACCTCTCGCACAGGCTACACACTAGTTATTAAATATCCAAATTGATTACACCACAAGTAACCAAGATACACAATTAGTGGTAACCACTAGTACGCTTTTAGAAGCGCGACTTTAGGATGTCGATATATATTATCATTACATGTCTCATCTTCATCTTCTTATTCATCTTCATATTCATCGTGGCCTAAACCTAGGGTTTGCTCCAATTCCTTCGTATCTTTAATTCCAATTTCTTCGTTTCTTTAATCCGAAGTGAACATATATGCAGCCGCCGAACATAATCCTGCGCCCGCCGTTTGTTATATAATATCTTTCCTTTCGCGAACTGATTCATGATTTGGGAATTATCAATTATGATTATCCCCGTCGATTTTCAATTCTCATCGTCACATGGTATGAAGCTGAGCTATAATCTTCGAGTTTTTGGACCTGGTTTGAATCCTTTTGCCCCCTACAACATGGCCAATCATTCCTCTCGCTAAATTTTATTCTCTTTTTTTCTTTTTCGAGCCTTCCTATTCAGATAATGTAAAAGGATTTCACATTAGCGAAGCGATTGTCAACTGATTTATGTGTCAAGTTTTCTGTCCTGAATTCTGAGGCTATCGTTACAACAAAATATTGAAGGTTTTTGTTTTGATTTGAAGGCCTTCGTTTTTTTTTCGTTTTAATCGTTAGTGTTCTTCCTTTTACGAAGAAAAGGGATCTTCAAGATTGGAACCTTATCAGCTTCAGTTTTGGGTTGTCTTTTTCATCTTCTGTAAAACTGCTAAGTATGTGAGACGGTCTTTAGTCTTGACTTTGGCCTCTTTTTAGAATCAAAGGGTTGGGATTTGAAGTCTCTAGGTTTGTTACGCATAGCAAACTATTTGTCTTTGTATATCAAAAGACAGAAGAACATTTATTCATATATCTACACATATATATCCTTCAATGCCGGAGTTCGAGATTGAATCTGTTAGGAGGAGCCGAAGGGTGTTTAGATCGGGAGATGATAGGGATGATCGAGGCTGGACCTTGCTCCACATCCATGCTAGGAAAGGTGACCTCAGAGAGGTAATTATACTCTCCTTCCTAGGTTTTAACTGTATGTTGTTCTATTGACTTGACTATTGAACTGATGTCATTTTTTCTGTCTGGTTTTGTTAGGTTCCAGTGCTCTAATTTGTCGCAACCTATGTTCATAATATGCTGTATTCTGAACATATACTTTATGAAAGGAATCGATGTTGTTTCATTCTGATACTGGATTCTTTATCACAATTCGAGCAAAAAAATTGGTGTTGCATGCACATCTAGGACGTGTCAACTTTCTTTTAGTGTAGCATAATATCATATTTAGGATTTTTATGTATATGTATTACAGTTTGCTTGTTTATAAACTCCATCAGAGTTATGAAAGCCTCATTTCTCCAATCACGGCAGCATGTCCATGATGTTGAACTATAATTTTGCTTGCGTGAAACCATAATGTAGGGTCAGAGATAATGTTCGTTTTCTTGTTGCCTTGTCAGTAAAAATGAGTCCGAGTGCTGCAACGTGGCTTATTTGGAATGGGCTTTAGCTGCAACATGCAATTTTTGGAAGGACTTTTGCATTTTCTTTCTCTTTTTTCATCCGTTTGATTTGGAATCTTCGCTTTTAAATCCTTTCTTAGAATTGTCTTGTTCTTACCTCAAGTTTCATTTTCTTTTTTTGTGATACATATATTTCTCTCTTTATTTTAACACCCTTTTAGGTGAGACGGCTTCTCGATGAAGGAATGGATGCTAATGTGGCTGCCTGGGGCCCGAAGTCCCACGGTGTGACCCCTCTCCATCTTGCTGCTAAAGGTGGCCACATTAAAGTTATGGATGAACTGCTCGAGCGTGGGGCCAACATCGATGCCAGAACTAAGGGTGCATGCGGCTGTAAGTAGCTTTGCTTAAACTCAAATAAGAAACAATTAAAATAACATATTCTTTTAATATCAATTCGTTTTCGATTTCACTTGGTACAGGGACCCCACTTCACAATGCAGCTAAAGAAAGAAAGAAGAAAGCAATAAAATTCTTAGTCGAAAACGGGGCATTTTTGCCGGACAACATCGATGACTCAAGGTTCAACCCGCCCATGCACTACTGTCCCGGCCTCGAGTGGGCTTATGAAGAAATGAAGCGTTTGCAGGACATATCTTCTTCATGTGAGACATCCTGCAGCTCAGATAACTGAGGCGTATTACGTATGTACCCTCAGAAAAGTGATGTTTTGTCTCGATGCTTTTTTGAGTGTTCTGGAGGAAGATGAGAGATCTGGTACTTCTGATGGGTGATGGCTTTGATCTTCAGCTCTGTTCCCTGGTTGCTCTGTGGTGACTGATATACAGAGTGTAGTTCATGACAATGATAGTAGTGTGTGACCTTGGATAAAGTGTGTTTGTTTTTTCTTGTGTTTGTCTTCTTGAACAAGTATCTTTGTTTGCTTGTGTCGTTTCAATCTTTTTCAATCTTTTTAGTGATGATCGGTGTGTGGGGATGATTTCTCATTTAAGAACAGACTATGTTGTGGAGTGTGCTGTGGTGATTAAACTGGTCAATAAATGTGACTCTCTCTCTCAGAATATGTACAGCCTGAGCTATTTTTGTCAATTCTTCTTAGAGATTGTTTTCTTTTTTAAATGTTAAGCTACACTTTTGAAATGAGCCCCAGCGAAAATGCCATTGTTAGCTGACCGGCAACCACAGCTATTTTTGTCAATTCTTCTTAGAGGTTGTTTATTTAAATGTTAAAGCTACACTTTTGAAACGAGTCCCAGCCAAAATATCATTGTTAGCTAAGGATTTGGTTGAAGATTTGATTTAATGAACTCCCATGTTCTTTTTTTTTTCCTTTTTTCTTTCATCATTTTGGCGATGCCCAACCTTTTTGGAACAGATATTGAAAATGTGGGCTATGTATAATTATAGTTGACAACATTTGTATAATTATAGTTGGACAATATTGACTAGATGCATCAATTCGCATTATTCAAGAAAAGGCTAAAAATGGATAAATAAATAAGCGAAAATTAACCAGGGACATTTGCTAACTTATCTATATAACTATTGTGGTAAAATCAATGAAAATTGGGTTAACGTCTCCAAACTTAAACCACTCAAGATTTCAAACACTTAACCTGAGTATGGTTACTATTGAAGGAACACTTTTCCGGCATGAACTCAGTCTGCTGCTCTCAAAAGTCCAAAAGCAACTAATACAACAAGTGCTAAAGTAAATATGTTGCTATGGTACAGTCCGAGTTCAGCAAGTGCTAAATAATTGAAAATTCAATTCAACTCAATTATCCTATTTTTTATAAATATAATTAATTAATACCAATCATTATCACTTATCACATTAACTTTAATCACTATTTCATCCATTCATCCACTTACAGAATTTTAAATACTATCACTTTTTATAATATATCTCTTACTTTCACATCATATTCACTTTAATCACTACGCTAATCTATTTTATTTAAAATAACTCACTTTAATATCATAAACAGTTTAGGGGTGTATTTAATTGGAAATTCTAAAGACTTTTTAAGATTATTTGTGAAGACCTTTTAAGATTTTTAAAAATCTTGGATTATTAATTGAGATTTTAAAAAGTCTTACCAAATAATGGAGTATTTAACTTATTATTTGATACTATGATTTGTTAAGATTTTTTTAAGATTTGATAGAATTTCTAAAGAAAAACCCTTGTAGGAAATTCCACTTCAAATCTCATTTCACATAATTCTTCAAGAATTTTAAGATTTTAAAAAGTCTCAAACTTTAATAGTTTTAAAATGTCACTTGAAATCCCAATTAAATACTTTGGTTCCTAAATTGGTATTTGACAAAAAAATTTACACTATTGAAACCGAAATTTACACTAATGGAACCGGAACGGCAACTAATAAAATGGTGACATGAATGTTTCTTGGAAAAGAAAAAAAAAAAATAAAAAAAACTGAACCAATCCTGCCCTAAAACCCTGCGCAGCTCCTCAGCAACTCTCAGCCTCTACAGTCCTCTCTCTCCTCTCTTTCAATCTACATTCACCAGTTCCAGCCATGGAGGAAAAATCCCATGAGGAAGAGGATCAAATCGTGACTCCGTGGGAAGTAACCGCCGAAAAGGGCGGCAAAATCGACTACGACAAGCTTATCGACAAAAGTTCGGCTGCCAGAGGATCGATCAGCCGCTCGTTGACCGCGTCGCCCGCCTCACGCGCCGACCTCCCCACGTCTTCCTCCGCCGCAGCGTCTTTTTCGCCCATCGGGATTTGAGTGACGTCCTCGATGCTTACGAAAGAGGGGAGAAGTTTTATCTCTACACTGGCCGTGGCCCCTCATCGGAGGCACTGCATTTGGGCCATCTTGTGCCCTTCATGTTCACAAAGTAATTTTCAAATATTCCTTCTTCTTCTTCTTCCTTTTTTTTTTTTTTTTTNTGATGAGAAATGTATGTGGAAGAATTTAACCGTGGAGGAAAGCCAGAGGCTTGCCCGCGAAAATGCTAAAGATATAATTGCTTGTGGTTTTGATGTTTCAAGGACGTTTATATTTTCCGACTTTGATTATGTTGGAGGGTAGGTGATAACATACCCCATTTGCTATTCCTTTTTTATTTGTAAAGTTTTATTTGCTTATGTACATTTGGGAAAAACGGTAAGTCTTCTGATAATACTTTTTTCCTTATGATTTTTCCATGTTCTGTGCGTTGGTTTTAAATTGTTAATTGGTTATACTGAAAGATAGTGCTGTGATCTGTTGCCATTCAATAACTTAATTACATTTTATACCTGAGTCCATTAGGAAAGATTATAGGTTAATCTTAAAGTATCTGTATAATTGGGTAGGACTCTAGTTGTTGGACTGAAGGCTTTTGGATAAATGTGAATATCAAGAGCAAGTAATTGAGTGTTAGAATTGCTGGTTAGAACTTAGAAGTTTGGTATAAAGGAGAAGTAAAGGAGGCTGTGGCTAGTTTATCTACATGTGTGATCTTGATTGCTTCAAACTCCCTCATATTATATTATACGCGTCTGAAAAGAGTTATTCAGATAAGTGCATTAACAAATCTTGATGACTCAAGACATAAGGTGTATACCTTTTATATAATATAATATGGAACTAGTAGGATTTCTGATCAATGTGTTCTTTTGCATCTAGTAATCTCGTTTTTCCTAATTTGCAAATATGCTTACAGTGCTTGGATTTATTCTGCAGTGCCTTCTACAAGAACATGGTCAAGATTGCAAAATGTGTGACTTACAACAAGGTGACTAGTAATTTCATGCAATTATGTATAGGTACTTAAGAGATATCAGGTTCAAGTCAAAATATGATGCTTAATTGGTTTTGCTGGTAGTTGGTATATTTGGTTTCACTGGTGAAGATCACATTGGAAAAGTGAGCTTTCCGCCTGTTCAGGTATGAACCTCTATATTTACAAGATGAGTCATACTATTTTACGATATATTATCTGCAGTACAAGATGCTTGGCATATCAAGATGAAATATGGCACAGCCAATCATTGTAACCCTGTCATTACTGATTGGCATTTTAAGTCATCAACTTGCTCTTGATGTGTGTTTACTTGATTCAACATATATAAATTTGCTTCTATTTTGAATGAAAATTTGCTATAAATTCTGGTGCACTGTGTAAGATTGCTAATATCATTACTGAACTGTCGAGATAGCACTTACAGTTCATCAATCATCACACCTTGATTTTTATTAAATCATGATATACCATTTTTGTGTTGTTTATAAATATTGTTTTAGACTTTTAGATAAAAAAAGGTCTCATTTCGTCCAATCTTACGTTCAGATTGATCCCTAAATTCCACTTTATTTTCACCTTCGGAATTTATTTAATTCTGTTATTCTATATCTCTAATTAAGACAGTCATCTGGCGGGAGAGTGAAAATTTTGTATTAGGATGTCTTTGACCATTAAACACCATTGATAAGAATAAATTGTTCAACATTGTTCAATTATTTTTAATAGCCTGGCTTTTTAATTATCATCAGACATCAATGCTTTAATTGCTTAACTTTCCCACCATGTTTCTTGCTAGTAAATTCTGATCACAAAATTCTAGAAAATGTAGGAAGAACTGAGTTTTTCAATTCTTTTGTTGATCTTAAGCCGGTTGATGATTGTTGTAGCAAAATATATTTTTATCGAGTACCGAATCGAAAGATTCGTTCCCCGGGTCGATCTCTCGAGGAAGGCGGTTCGGAATATAGGAATGGTGTTGATAACACATTAAAGAAAAATAAATCCTAAACACTCTAATTAAGATAGTGATTTTTAATTATCAACTACGAAAGAAAATTCAAACAATGCAAAATCGAACTTAAAAACAAAGATGAAGATTAAAGGATAAGAAGCTAAGGAATCGGGGATGATGATTTTTTAACCAATTGAAATATCAAGCTAAGATCATTCGGTTAAATGATTCGAACAACCTAACGTCTAGAGATAGTCCTCAATAACTCTTCGTAACAAGAGGGTAACATAGACGGTAAATCGCGCAAATCACACAACACATAGACAATACGTTTCCGAACAAGTCTATTTCATGCGAGCCTAGATCGATCAACTCCTCCCCTTTCGGTTCTAAGAGTTGATTAATTATACTAGATGATTGTTAATCTACTAGTTTGTTGGATTTAAACACGTCACACAAGAACGAATCATATTCAATTGGAAATCAATTGCAAATCGAAGTGTCACTCTTCGACAATATTAAACATTCAATGTACGAGAATTATAAACCTAGTTAAGAACAACTCGCATAAATTGAGATCAACAAGCATGATAATCACAATTAAATTCTAAACATCATCATCATCCCCTATCCCTAGCGAAACGAATTAGCCACTCATATGGAATTCAAAATCAACAATCAAAGCCATCATATTCATGGATTAGATGAAAAGAGAAACTTACGATTAATAGAAATTCAATATTCGAATCCAATGACAAAGCTAAATCCGAAGCAGAGAAAAGGAGTTTTCAATCTCCAAATCAAATCCAAAGTGCAAACGTATGAAAAGGAATGAGTTTCTAGAGAGAAAAAACGTAAAAATAGAGCTGGAAGTTGAATTATGAACCCTAGGATCAAAATATGGTCTAAAAATCCCGTCCTCAAAATTCGCGCGGTAAAGTCGCGAGTCGCGACATTGCCTTTTCTTCGGTCGCGTCGCGACATCATCGCAAGTCGCGCGTCGTCAAGATGTTCAATTCCTGGGGTCTGGTCGCGACCTACGTCGCGAGTCGCGACTCAATCTCGCGAGTCGCGACTCGTGCTAGCATACTGCACCTTCAGGCTCTGTTTTTCTCGCGAGTCGCGACTTTGGACTGTACTGCGCAATTTTACGTTTCGGGCTCGTTTGGGCTGGTCCGAACTCGGAATTGAGTTCCGTTTTTTGCTATGCGTCACCAACGAACTCCTCTATTAAAATATGCGCTCGAAACAAACTTTTGCTGAAGAGAAGATTCACCCGAAGCTCCCGACCTACAAACCAAAAACGACAAAATACGAAGAAAACCGGGAAAACAAACGAAATAACACCTAAAGACTCAAAATCAAGAAAAACACATAATAAAACACGAAACGGACTAAAAACTAAAGAAACGACCTAAAACGGGATAAAGAGAAAGATAAAATAAACACGAAAAACGCAACAAAAATGGGACAAACAATGATTTAGAATTTTTTCTTGGTTTCACATTCTGTTTTCTCTTTTTTCTTGACCATTTATTATATTTCATTGTTATCAGGCAGCTCCGTCTTTTCCAAGTTCTTTTCCACATCTGTTCGCTGGTAAAGATAAAATCCGTTGCTTGATTCCATGCGCAATTGACCAGGTATTTTGTTGTTGCTGTTCAGATGGTACTAACTTCACTAATTCGGAATGTATATTTCCATTTAATTAGTTGCTAAATAGTGTTGATATTTGAATCTAAATTACACTATATAATACAATACGAATCAGTGTTGTCTAAATGTATGAGAATTTTAAACGTCTTGATTTTAAAAGTGTGATGCGCTTAATATTCTGCTTATTGTCATTTTTCTGTACAATTTATATAAGTTAACTATGGTAATAATTGTATATTGTCAATGTTCTGCCTTGATTGTCTATGTTGTGAATAATTTTGCTTCCCCTTTTATATAAATTTGTGTATGGAGTTTGATCAGTATAATCCGACAATGTAATTACTTTAGCAGGAAATATAACTACCACGATATAAATGCTTATACTGCACCTGGTATAGAATTTAGCTACTCTTGGCTTCTAAACAGTCAAATCTCAAATACATACGAAATTGCTGTAATTAATCTGTTTTTTCTCTATTGTCTAAAGGATCCTTACTTCAGAATGACACGGGATGTTGCTCCTCGAATTGGCTATCACAAGCCTGCTTTGATTGAGTCGTCCTTCTTTCCAGCTCTTCAGGTTTCTTTCTGATATCCCAATTCACAAGTAATACAATAGCATGAGGTCATTTTTCAGTTTGTTTATTTTTTATATTTTATTTTATTTGTTTGTGTGGATTGTTGGTGGTCACTGGCCTCAAAATTCTGTATGTTCATTGTTCTCCTTCATTTATTTTCCTTTAGCATTTTTCCAATTTAAAAGTTTTTAAGTGAAATGCGATGGAAAATATGATTATCCACACTCTTTACTTCTTTTGATGATATTTATTGTAGGAGAATTCACCTACATAGACCCTCTATTCATTATGAGAATTATATTGACCTGTGAGTTGAAATGAAGATATAGTGTGTAATGTGTACTTGAATGGTGATCTTCTCTTCAGGGAGAGACTGGAAAAATGTCGGCCAGTGATCCAAATTCTGCTATATATGTCACTGACTCTGCCAAGGACATTAAAAACAAGGTTCCTCTTTATAAACAATTTTGTGAAAACTCTTCCTTTATTGTAAGTCGTCGAAAATCATTACCTCGCCTTCTTTTGTTACAGATAAACAGATATGCATTCTCTGGTGGGCAAGATTCAATAGAGAACCACAGAAAGTACGGAGCAAACCTTGAGGTAGCAATATTAAGTCACTCCTATTTTGAAGACTAATCATCTCCTATCTTTCTAATTCAAATTTATTCAAATTTGTTAAGGTAGATATTCCGATTAAGTATCTCGGCTTTTTCTTGGAGGATGATAGTGAACTCGAGCACATCAGAACAGTAAGGACTTATCTCTGTCATTTTATTTGTCAGTTGACAAACAAGTTTGTAGATAAGTACTTAAGGCTTAGCTTTATTTCAAAGAAACCCACTTTTCTTTCAAAATTTCAAATTACTTGTGTTACAAAAGTGCATCATTGGGATGGGGTTATGTATATGTATGGGAAACACAGACCTCAACGGATCATTTATAATTCTAGAAGATAATTGGGATTTTCTTGGGGGTATATTTGTAATTACCATCTGTAACACATGTTTTGTCGTCGTACAGGAATACGGTGCTGGGCGTATGCTAACAGGTGAAGTGAAAAAACGGCTTATTGAAGTTTTGACCGAACTGGTCGAAAGACATCGCAGGGCACGAGCTGCTGTGACTGATGAGGTAAAAACTATATAATTCCTCCTTAAGGCTGTGTTTGGTGTGCATGACTGGGTAGGATTATGGGATTAATAAGGGGTTGGTCCTATGTTCACGTGATTCCGGCTTTCAGATTTCTCAAATTGGCACCAATACTTTTTTTAAGAAAAAATTGAAAAAAAGGGAATATAAAAGAAGCTCTTGTGCATTAATTTGGTAAGATTTTTCTTTTTAGTTTCAACATGAAAAAGAATGGAGAGGTGTGATGCCGATAGAGAAAAGAAATAGCGGGTTTGATCGGTTTTTATTCCTGCGAAACTGACTTGCTTCTTTATTAGGGAGGGTGAGGGTGAAATAGACTTTACACATTTGTATCTCATGGTTTATCAAGAGAAACAAACACTTTAGGGAGTTAACATTATTTTATCCGGAATATTACTCTTGAATAACAAATATAGCTTTAATTTAATCAACACATTACAATCTACCATCATATATTAAAGAATTCAATCTCATCCCGTGAAACAAACGAGGCCTTAGTTGTCTTTTGATCAACATCTAAAGCTGTGTGTTAATTGTTTATTGGATAGAAATATGATCATCTGTTTTTGTGTTGGGTGCAGATGGTAGATGCATTCATGGCGGTCAGGCCACTTCCAAATATGTTCAGCTGAATTTGGCAAAGCTTTTTTATATGAGCTTGTAATGTCTGATAAAAGAGTTGGTCCTCAAAATTGTTTTTTACCAAAAAATCCAAATTTTCTTCATTTTAACTTCTTTATGAATGAGATTATGATTCATGTTAGGGAATATTTATCTCAGCTATTTGCATAAATGAAAAAGAAACAATTAGAGTGACAAATGGCTTAGGCCTGTAGCATTACTTGAAAAACAAATGTAAAACAGTGTGATATAAAAAGTTCATACAAGTATAAATTGGGTGAAATGTCTATCTAATTTTTCAACTATATGATCTGAGTGCTTGTATTTATAGCAAGTAGTTTTGAAGAATAATACATAATGGATGTTAGGCCTGTAGCATTCCTGAAAAAAAAAAAAAAAAAATGTAAACAATACGATTTAAAAAGTTAACAAGCATAAATCAAGTGAAATGTCTTTATCTAAATTTTCTACTATATGATCGAACTGCTCGTATTCATAGTGAAGTAGCTTTGAAGAAAACAAATAATGGCAAATTGGGACACCATGCAAAGTTTGGAATTGATTTTCTAGAACATTTATCATTCTAGGACAATTTTTAACTTCTAAAACAACAAATTAAAAGCATCATAGGACAGCTCTACACAAATATATTTTTCTCTTTTTAGAGTACGGAGTTTCACACAATTGAATTTTCAAATTTGGATCTAGTTTGTGTTCTTTTCCATCTCTGTGTTATGTCCTCGTTAGGATTTTTTTCATGTGGGTTTGAAGTTGTTGGTCTTGAACCTTAGTTGGATTTTTAGTTTTGAATCTCGTTAGGATTTTTTTTCATGTGGGTTTGAAGTTGTTGTTCTTGAACCTTAGCTGGATTTTCAGTTTTGAATATAGTTTTGATTCTTTTGCATCTCTGTGTTAGGTCCTCATCAGAATCTTTTTCACGTGGTTTTGAAGTTATGAGTCTTGGACCTTTTGGCGTTCGATCTTTTAAAGAAATGTTAACTAAAAATTTGCTAGATGCCCTCTCAACTTATATCTTGTCTTACTTTAAAACTCCCTAGACTTTTTGTAATAATATTTGTGGGCTGCTTATTAATTTCTGATGGGGTAAAGTGAGGTGGGTAGAGGAAAAATCTATTGGGCTCGGTTGGATAAAGTGGCCAAACCAGGAGGTTGAAGGCTTAGGATTTAGAAACTTAAATGTTTTTATTGAGGCACTCCTACCAAGGCAAATGTGGTGAAATTTGACTGCCTAATTTATTAGTGATTAGAGTGTTTAAAGTCATGTATCTCTTTAATAAAAAAACTCATGGAATGTTGTGGAATGTTGGCTAGGGCTAGTGAGGGGTTGAAACTAGGTACTTGGTACCAAGTAAGTGAGGGTAATGCTATGCATTTGGAACTCGCCTTGGTTGCCTAAAACTCCTTCATTTAAGCCTAGTTGTCCTTTCTAGAGTGATAGGAACATATTAAGTTGAGTTAGGGAGGTGTTGATTGACAATGGGAAAAGTGGTGTTGGGAATTAATCCTCTAGACATTTAATCCCTTGGATGCTGAAATTATCCTTAAGATTCCCATAAATCATTTGGGGTAAATGATAAGCTAATCTGGCACTTTAACATGATGAGATCATTTTCAGTAAAGGAGGTGTATAATGCAATCATTATCAATAAGACTGGAATGCAGGTTGTTGTAAAATCAAGCAGGCAAAATATTTTCAGTATCAAAATGTGGAAAAGAACCTCGGCCCTTCCAATAAAAAAGAAGATAAAAAATCTCTTACGGAGGTGTTGACACAATTTCTTGGGTACTAAAGTCCAACTAAGAATAAAGTAACTAAGAATGGATATACATTGTGGCCTGTATGGAGAGGAAGAAGAAGATCAAGAGTATGTGTTCTTAAATTGTCCAAGAGCTAGGAGAGTATTGAAGCTTATTGGCATCACTTAGACTGGTGGGTGTAAAAATAACTCTTTTTAAAACTGGTGGGTTGAAGCTTGCTTGGTTGATGAGGAACAATGCATAAATGACAGAGTATGCTTTCTTTCTTTCTTTCTTTCTTTTTTTTTTTTTAAAAGAGAACCAATAGTGCTCTCACTTTCCCTCCATGGTGACTCATACTCATGACTTATCAGTCTTAAGTGAAGCGTCTTACCACCAAATTACGCTATTTGCGTCAGTGGGCAATGAGGACAAATAATAACTGAACATTCAAGGGGAGTGGAAAGAGGAGAAGGAGATTGCAGAGGGTAAGGTTATAAACAAATTAAACATTATTTCGATTCGTGATTCGAATTCGGTATTCAGGATTCATATTCGTAAAAATTCAAATTCGAATAAGAATAATGTTTAATATCTAAATTTATTCGTATCTGAATCTGAATATGCACATATTCGATTCAAAATTATTGAACATTTGATTAGGTAATAATAACTATATATAATTTAATATACTATATACAATATAAGATTTTAATTATATGAGATGGTTTCAAGTGAGAATGATTCTCAGTGAAAGAAATAAAAATACATCGTACCCATCAAATTTGATAATCCAACGACAAGATAAGCCAAAATTGTACACCCATTAAGGGAAATTTGGACATTACCTCAATTCCCACCGACCCACCCGTGGGCCTTACCCCACCAACTCACCACTCTCTTTCACACACAGACACGCATACACACAAAACACACACCTTCCTTCGAACGCACCCACCAATCCACCCCACTATTGTGGCCCCCGCCGGAAACAATCTCTAGTGCCAAGTACTCGTGCGTTCCTATGCACGACTTCAAGAACGCCATCGTCAGCTCTGCCACAAACTATGTCACCCTCTCCATCCACATTCAGATCTGGGTTTTGAGCCCTGGGGCAATGTTCGACTCGAGGCACATGTCGAAGTCTGGCATCATGCTTAGGTCGTCCTCCCGAATGAGCATGTTCTCCGGCTTGACGTCTCAGTAGATGATGCTCCGAGCGTGGAGGTACTCAAGGACAAGGAGAAACTCTACCATGTAGAACAAGACAACGGGGAGGGCCAGGTGGCACCGGGCTGGTGAAGGAAAGGGAGTGGAGGTCGTCGTTGGGACAGTAGACGATCTAGTTTTGGGGATGGGGGCTTCCCGTTGAAAAATAGATAAGTCCCATTGAGTCATCTGCAAATAAAGAAATTTTGAATATAGAACTTTAGTTCTTGGGTTAAAATTATAATTTAATAAAAGTTTATAACTGCACAATAATATTTAATGCAATGCAGAATATCATGTGTGTATATGCATATTAAAAATATACGTTTCTACAGAGTACAATTAGACTAAATGCACGTTAATGCCTATGAGAATGCACATTAGCATACACCTGAAAATTAAATCATTATGATTTAAGTATAATATCGATTAACCAAAAGAAGAAGAAAATACATAATACTATAATATCTATATAAATTACTTTATGCCTCATCACTTTTTTAAGGGACGTCAAACACCATTCCACTGTCGAAGGCAAGGTGCTCCTCGTCCGTCGAAATAAATGGAGAATCGCCTCAAGTGTCGATCTCTTGCCAAGAGAAGGGATACGCTCGTACAACCAAGCCTACACAAGATTTCAAAAATTAAGAATTTCACAATTCATATTATTATATTAAGACATTGAAATAAATCTATACATATGATGAGTCACAAAGAGCACCCATTGAAGTACGATCGATCTTTCGATTTCATGTGACAAACAAGCACACCAACTAAAGAACATATGAGTAACATCTCCCCATGCATACTCATAAATTTTACTTACATCCTCTATGTAAGGGTAAAGAAACTTGAGAATAGAATAGCTAGGACAAGGAAACAAAATACAATTAAAGACAAGAAGACTAAACATTCGGATGAAGTTGTCTACACGAGCTTCATCCACAAAAAACTTTTCTAACAACTCTATAACATGCTTTCTTTTCAAAAGCCTCCTATCTACCCGACCCCAACCGTTGAACAAGGCTTTTGACTCCAAACTAAGATCTAAATCTACACTTAGACCACCATATCTTAACCCCATCGTGATACAAAACTCGGCAGAATCAAAATTCATAAATAAGTCGTCGCCAATAACAAAGGCATCCTTGTCTGCCCTATATATGCTAAATGCCTCGACTATAGTATGTGTGATCAATAAATCAAGCATATTAACCTAAGTTGTTTTGAACAATTGCTTTGATTATCGATATTATTTTGCATCGACCGAGTTAGAATTGATGGTGGTATCTTATTGTTTTTACAACTTTTGATAGATGTATTTTATTTTTTGTTTTTTTTTTAATAATGATTTCTTAATACAAATGAAAATTGTATCATAAGCAAATGATAAGAGTTACTAATAAAAATATAATATTATGGAACATTTTCCAAACATTGTTGCATTTAAAGCTACAGAATGCTATCTTAATCAATCACATAATGTAAAGGATGCTATCAACCATTCATTTTATTGCTAGTAATTGCATTTAATATTACTAATTTGACATAGAATAAAACTGTGACGTAATACCCCAGGTATAATACCCCATAATCTAGGGATAACACGTTACTAATACAGTTAAAATGCAACATGTACATGCACACACATATCAGATAATTACCAACAAAAAGCAATAGGAAGATGTAATACCCAAGTATAATACCCCATAACCTAGGGATAACACGTTACTGATACAATTAAAATGCAACATGTACATGCACACACATATTAGATAATTACCAACAAAAAAAACACTAATTAAGATCAAATCTATCTCATCCATAACACATAGAAAAAAAAAAAAGATATGATAGTCTTGACTGGATTAACTTATAATGCACCAGCTACGCAGGCCAAGCCAAATGGTGGATTTGATCGACTTCCAACAAAATTGGCTCCACCACTTTGTTTCTGAGAAATAAGTTTAAAGATCATAATCAATTCTTATATGAGACAATTTAACCATTAGGCGGGTCGATCCATCATATAATTGTTACAAAAATGAATATTTATATTAAGTCATATTTTTGTTTATATTAGTTTTACTACAGTAAAATTAATTTCATGTTCGAATTATTGCATATCCCTCGGTTATACTCTTTTACCGAACTTAGAATTGTCTAACACTAAAAAGAGGTATCGATGAGAGCATTCCTTACCGAGATCATTTTATTTCATCGAAATACTGAAACCCTGAAAACAATATCATTTTATTTCATCAAAATAAAATGGCACGCCTTAATGCTTATAGTAATAATTGAAGCTACATGTATATCTTAACCAATCACATAATTTAAATGATGCTATCAACCATTCATTTTATTGCTAGTTATTGCATTTAATATTGCTAATTTTACATATAATATGTTTGTGGCATTAATTTTATTACATATAATAAAAATGATTGCTACTATGTTTGTGGCATACAAAATAAAAACGTACACACAAACAGTAGAAAAATATGAAGTGATTTTCTTTTAAATGAAGATAATAAAAAATATGGGACATATGTTGGTTCTATGCTTGAACAAATACAACCATAGATGATAATCTACAATATGATCTTTTTATGTGAATAAAGTATAGAAATACAGTAAGTCAATCGAAGTGGATATTGTGATAAAAAAAGGAAGTTGAGTAATTCTTACCATTTTAAAAAATAGAGTCAAATCATTTCCCTAAATATCTACACTAACATAATTAATAACAATGGTTAAATCATGGTATTTGCTAACAAATATGTTAAGTAATCAAGACCGTTGATAATTATGTAATCAAAGGATAGGATGAGTCCTAATTGTGAGGAAAGAGATGGTATTGTTAGAAAGTGCAAT